TCCATAATTTGAAAATCAATTTGGTTTTCGCGAGGAAGAGTCAACTGAATCTCTCGTTTATGATATTCTACAAATAAACGTGCTGCACACAGGCCACCTCATGATTCAGTTGGCATGATATTCGATATGTCGCAGTATATTTTCATAAAGGAGACTGCTCACAAGGTTGCTGAAGACTCTTCCACAGCGCACGACCGGTTTCGCTCTTCTTGAGTGTATTTCTCGGAAAGATAGGGGAAGTATTCTCAGGTTTAGGATGTTTTCGTGTGTTTTCTTTGGTGACTGGCGAGTACTTCTACATAAAACGGGGTGTTGAAGACTTGTATCGACCGGACGTGATATGAATCTCCCAGGTTTCCTATAATTTTAACTTTGAGACGCGGAACGTAGTGTTTTTCACTGTCACTTTCAAAAATCCCTGGGGTTACCCACAACAATACTCTTGACCGTTGAGTTTTACTCAAGCCTGGTCCCAAGGAGACTTTTGGAATTCCGTTGAAAGACCTCTATTAACTGACGAAAAGTGACGCAGTTTTTGTGGGTAGCAAAACTAGCAGTGTGAAAATCACCAAAAGCTTCTAGTTCGATGGAAGATTGGAACTTTGTATCTTTATCCGTTGAACGAAACACGCAGCTGTTGCGGACACTCAAACCCTTTTGAGGCTGCAGCATCAGGTTCGGTTAGGCACTGATGCGGACATGCATTGGTAGCCATAAAAGCAAGTGCTGTCAGCAGGCAATTTTGCAGATGTCGGCAGACTGGGAGACCAGCAACGCTTCAGTTTACTCCGGGTATAGAACTGCACAAGTTTCCATACTCTTGGAGTTTGTTTTTCACGGAATTTCGGCTCACTGTTGACAAACGAATATAGACCAAGAAGTCCAATACTCAGGTTCCACACTCGATCATAACTTGGAAAAACTGGGCTTTTCAGGCCAAGTGTTTCCAAACCGATTCAACAGAACAAGCGACTCGCCAAATAGCAACCAGTACAACAACCGAATTCACCCAGAGGTTACCCCCTCGTATTTTTGAAAGGCTTTCTCGTCTGCAAACGAATAATTTAACCACGGTTTACTAACAGTTCGCGCATAATTCCCAGTTCTTCCCAAAACTTATCTCACGGAGGCTAGTTTAACGATCCTTGTGAATGCGGTTAAGTAACGCGAACCGGGTAACTTTCTTCAAAAATCAATAAAGCTACCACAATTTGATTTAGGACGAGGAACAGCCAAACTTGCTCGTGATACTACTGTAACGGTGATACTACTGATCTGGAGGCACGCGAGTAGTATGTGTTGTTTGTAGAATTTCGCTTTGCGTCGATGGAAAAAGGGAATTCTGTTGCGGAATTCGTGGGGCCACTTTGTAACATTTGCTTGGATTTGACCGACGAATGAGTGGAGGCAACGAATCTCTAGGAAGACTCGTTCGGGAGAAGATCTGTATCCAGTTTTTTTTAACTAAGATGCAGATTAGGGATTCTCTTCCCTGTTCAAAGGTCTGTAACCGGTCAGTTGGCATTTTCGAGTGAATGACTCCACATCGAAAGTCTTTTTCCTTTCACTACGATGTCCTTGAATTCCCAAACGTCCTTGATGGTTGTGCTAAATGCCGCACTTGATTTACGGTTGACCGACGTGCTCATCATAGCTTCATTTGAGGTCATCACATATCTGGAGAAGGCAATAGATTATCTAGTAGCAAACGTTGTTGGTCGGATGAGAACCTTAGTCGAAAAAATGTGGGATAGGACTGGACGTAACTAACCAATTATCGTGTAGGGACTTCATAGATCCAATCTGACAGACAGTATCAGGATTTTTACGGAAAGTTACATTGTTCGCGTTACTTAACTGCGTTTGCAAATATGCTTGGTTCGTCTTATCCTTGTTAGAACAGGCCACAGATTTTACCGGCTTTGGGGACAAATGTGAATTACACGAGAATGATTTGTAATCCGTAAATGAAACACTGGTTCGTAGACGGGGGGAGCGCGATATCAGTTCATTCTGTCGTTACTATTACAATTGATATTGTTCTAAGTGCCCCTGAAATTACCTGATCGTGAAGTCCTGACAAATGGATCGATCAGTAAACATAGTTTGACAGACCACCCATAAACCAACGTATTCAATTCTTCCTATTAGATAGTTCCGGCAGATTTAGTTTGTCTCTTTGGGCGAGATGACTCAGTGGCTAGAGCGCGAATTTACTAACCGGAGGGTCCGTGGCTTGAACCCAAGCTTTGCCTCTCAAATTCCCCTGTCTGGGCTTGGGCAACCTGGCAGTACCCTAGCTCTCGTTCTTCCTTCTGGTGGCATGGCAGTTAGGCAACGAAAGGGTGCTTCAGCCGAACGATTCTTTTAGTCTGCCTATTCATGCATCTTCATGATCATCAGCTCTCACCTCGAAATCTCTAATCCGTCATTGAGTCTCATTGGTTTTAAGCTCTAAAATGATCGAAACCTTTGTTTCGTTGTTCGTTGGTGTGAGCAGAACAGAATAGTTACATGAGGACAAGAAGCGAGGAACTTTCACGTATGGGCGAAATACGCTCATTTCCGAACCAATTTGGTTTTGAGGGAGACACTGCTGATGAGCCCAAAGCAGGGTGAAACCGGTCGTCGGCTGTCTAAGAGTTTTCAGCAACGTCTACACATGTATCGAGATATCTCGATTGCCGTACTAAAGGAAACGCGTGGCAACATGGTTCAGCATATTCAACTGCATAGAAACATCATACACTAGAGATTCAGGTGAGTTCCAGTTGAGTCTCCGGCAAAATCAAGTTGGTTTGCATGTCAGTGAATTTCACTAACTTCGTGCATTTTGGGTTCAAGTAGACCATAAAGTTGACCTAAACTCTAGCACTGTGCCTACCCGATGAGCCCAAATAAGAGCAAAACCGGTCGTGTGCTGTCGAAGGACAGCTTTGTGAGTAGTGTATTACGTCTACTGCACGAAATAATTCGGTAACCGAATTTCAGTGTTCCAAACCCCATTTCTCTAAGTTGTTTGATTTCATTAGGAACTCAGGCTGTTTTCTGTCACCTACTGATGGATTGTTTATTAAGGGAGTCTCACGCCACCATATATGTTTCTCTATTGAACCTTCTTAATGGGACGAACATGTGAAACGTAACGTGTAAGCCGTGGTTTTGAGCGTGGAAGTAATGTGAATTGCGCTAGCTCTTATCGATATTGTTCGAAAGTACCACCAAAACTGTAGAGTAGACTAGACTGCAAACAGACAGGAGAATAAAAAATAAGTAATAAAGATAATCGTTCAGATGTACCACCCTTTTGGTGCCTGACTGCCATACCACCAGAAGGAAGCACGAGGACAGATTGTCCAAGCCTAGACATGGGAAGTCGAAAGGCAGAGGTCGGGTTCGAACCACGGGCCTTCCGGTCAGTAAATTCACGCTCTAACCACTTGGGCCATCTCACCAGACAGGAGGATAATGAATAAAAGGCCACTGCGAATAAACGAGGCTTTTCACCCAAATTTCGATATTTGTAAATTAACGTTGTCCTGCAAGTTGAAAATATGAATATTCACGACGAATTCGGGAGCACTAGGTTTGGGCTTGTAGGGCAAAAGCAGGCCGATGGGTTTTTATAGTTGTCGAAGGGTACTTGGATAATATCACTCCATGAAAATCCCCGGGTGTCTTGGACATCGTTTGAGCTGAGACGTGAAGCGACATCTCTGCGACATAGTCGATTGATGGAGGTCCGGAACAAGCGCTCCAGCCAAGATAGAGCAGTTAACACAAATCAAGTTTGCAAGCAAGTGATCGAAACTGGACGCGCGGGCCATCTAACTAAAGACTGGTCGCATTTGTGTAGTAAGCCCTTGAAAAAACAAATAGAGGTGAAAAAAGGGGTATATCAGCGCCAATATTGACCGCGGTCGTTTGATTCGAAGAGCGCAAATTATACCGCAAAGTCTATGCTACGAAAAACGATGGCATGCTCGCTTTGAGTCTGTCAGGATTTTGGTTACACGAAAACCCAGGGGAAGAATGAAATCCAGACAAATTCAGCTTACCTGTTCTGCGATAGTGAGCACCAGAGAATGCAGTCGTACAAAGAATTTGAAGGCCGGCCTGCTTGTGTAGAACCCTGTCCAATAATTATGCACATTGGACGCGTACGGAAAGAAATCACCGGTACGTTGAGACAGAGTGTTCATTTTCAAAAATTCCCGATTAACGGCCTTGGTGTAGCAAGCCGGAGTCGAATAGAATACATTCAGGCTGAGGTTTCCCACCTGACGTTCATTGAGTTTCTCAATTAGTGAATCCATTAACTGAAAATTGATTTTTGCATTGGCGTAGCTAAAATCACAGCCCATTGGGACCATGATATGATTCGTTCGATATGATTTGTGCCAAAGCTCCAATGTTTGTACATACAGGTCCACTTTCCATGTTGGGACACGGTCGACTGGGTTCTCATATCCACACTCCACGCCCATACATCCGCCTTCCGGGTAGCAATATTTATCATAGAACACATGAGTAAATAGTTTAGAAAACGGTCCAGAGTCATTTTCGTCAGACCGTTCCTGTTTTGGACTGGGATCCCATAGGAATTCTAATTCTCTATTGTCTCTTCGAGCATATTTCTCAACGTAGTCCATTCTCTGAAAGTATAGGGAATCAAATCCGGCTTCCAAAAATACCTGGGCTCGTTCACGAGCATGACCAAAAGGATCAACTTGCCAAGCCACACGAGGAAGACTGCATGACCCGAAATTTCTGCGAATAAAGTCACGCCCGATTGACAACTGATCCACTTCGTCCCCATAGAAGACCACTGCCTCATCGGAACTAACCCATCCACCGAGTGCGAACTCCAGACGCCCGGTCCTGATCAATTCACGCACTTTGGACTGAACCAATGTTGACTGTTGCACAAACCATTTGTGGAAATACGCCATCTCCACGTATGTGAAACGATACGACTCATTCTCTAATAGTGTGGATATGGACGCATCCAAAATCGATCGGACACTAGAATCGTAGTATTCCTGAACAGTCTGAGTCCAACCGACATCATCGTGTGTATGGGCAATCAAGTGTATGTTGAGCTTGTCATCCCGGCCCAGATTACATTGGTTCTGGTCGCACTGTGCTGAAGTAGCGTCCACCTGGCCATCTCTGGTCATGCATAAAAGGAGGAGTATGCCCACATAAGCGTTGGGCATCGTGAAAGACGTGCCACGCACTGTAAGAGGCAGATGTTTGGTCGAAACAAACCCCAGGTACTTAGAGTACAGCAGGTGTGATTCACTGCCTCTGAAATATGGCTAGAAATCGTAGTTTACCCATACTAGCATTTCATGTCACAGAAATCTGCTTGCTCACCGTTCATTGGTCCAAGCACTCTGGCGTTCAAACCAAGTGCGATTGGATGGTCGATAAATTTGACCGGCATGCACGCGTACTTTGATCGAGTTGAACTCTCACATTTAGAAAACCTCTGGCATGATTGTGCCCGCTGCGCTGCAACAGTATAGATCCATCGAGGTACATCGACCTACAGTCACATCATGTCATATTTAAAGACAAATCGAATCGTTCGGCAAGTGTGTTACCTTCAGATTAGTCTTGTGTTAGTGATTTAGTAAACTAGTCCACCTGGGTGTTTGTCCCCCACAACTTGGTCACCCGATTGGTTGGCTATTCATTCAAATGACGTTCCCGGTGGATGTTGGTCCACTAGAGCTGATTACGTCGGCGCCTGAAGGTAAACGAAGACGGTGAAGCTAGGCAGTCGACGAGGAATTGAAGGTCACCCCGATGGATACCCGTGACAATACAAAAAGCGTGAAATTCCGCTGGTATTTCGCTGAGTCTTCAGACTAATCTGTAAAGTTGCACCCAATTTCAGCTCACGGAACTTCGAGGGCTGCGCTCACTTGATGAGCCCAAAGAAGGTAAACCTGTTCTTGGAAATTTGCATGACTTTCAGCCCCCTTGAAATTAGTGCTTTTTTTAAAGAAACGTTGCTGCGTTATTTCCAATATCTTCCCAAATTCAACACTGCGGTAGCTTTGTGTCGCAGCTTCAGGTGGAGAATATAACAAGCCAGAAATTCACTTGATTCTCAAGTTAAAACCAAATTAATTAGGAAATGGGGATAGTTCCTCAACTGGGTACAATTTAGTTCAAAAAGCGGGAACTCGGGGACCGCGGCAATCCCACGGCTCCCGGACAGGCCGAAAACGGTCGTATGCTGTCGGAGGGTTTTCAGCAAACTTGTGAGTAGTTTCTGCATGAAAAATTGCGATATCTCGCATATCGCAGCAACCGAAAAAGATGAAGCGACCTGGTGCAGCACACGCAGTTGAGGAGTACCACAAACGAGAAATTCAGATGGGTCTCCCGTGGAAGCGAACCTGATCTGCACGTGTGTGCAATTGTCAAAATCTGTTCAATTGGTGATCAAGTAGAACATAAATTTGGTGGACCCTCGGCACTTGCGCCCACCTTATCAGCCGCAAGAAAGGCATAACATTCAGTGGGTTTCGGACAGTTTTCAGCTACCTCACAAGTAGTATGTTCTTCCTGGTTGTATTTCACACCATGTCGCCTACCACATGTCTTGACTTTTAGGCTGAAGTAGCTGGCAAGGAACACACAGAACGACTGACATCACAAAATACATGAAAGTAGCGGGCACATCACCACAGATGTTCAAAGGATACCATTTTTCAAGTCAGTATGTTATTTTCCCTTCAGTATTTTCACTTTTTATGATTGGTTTTTCAACCGAAGACTTTTCAACAACTCTGTAATCCAGACGGATTGCATACCACCCGTCTAATGCTTGGGTGAATCACTACCATTCATGTGACTGCGATTCGTGTGTAAAGGAGGACGTAGCTAGCTCAAAGATAGGTCGAAACAGGGGCCACATGTGTGATCAAACATAAGACCGTAATAGTACCTTCTGTGTGTTCAAAATGACGAGGAGTTGGCCTCGGGTGAGTGCGAACAGAGTGGTGTAAACAGAGAGGTGGCCAACCCTTGACTTGGAAGAGGAGTATGAAGAAGATCACGAAACGCCTGGGTGCTGTCGGTGCTAATCGCCTTCCAGGATGGGTTGACGTGTTCCTCAGTGTGCCTGGTTAGAGACATCACAAGATATGGTGCCTGGTTACATCACAAGATATGGCTGCCAACCGATGTCAGTGGTGTTCTTGTTGTCAGTTTCGATCCAGATCGCCTGAGTGAATATCTATCTGTGTAGGCACCTCGGAATGATTGTGGTAAGCTAGCACCAAGTCCCTTCCCTGTCCACATTTACTCTATTCTTTACAATGATGCTTTCAAATAAATCATGGTTGTACGGCAGTGAGGCATCGGTGTTGAGCAGTAATGTCATGCTGTCGATGGTCATGGTGATGATTATGATGATGCGATGAGATAAGAATGTAAGTCAGTGTTCCTCGTGTGAATGTTGCCCAGCTCTCTGCTCTGCATCCATTTAGATTCATTTCACAGAAATGTATTCAAAAACACGCCAGAGATGTTTCCATGACAATGCGCCGGCAGAACCAAATATAGAGATGCACAATTCGAACCAGTGGGTCCGGCTAACATGGAACAAGTAGACCCATCTGAATGTTTTCAGGTGCTACAGCATACCAGTTAAGAAAACAAGTGAGCTGATCTTCAAAGTGCACACGGCTTACCTGGGAACGGAAAACTTGAGGACTTCAAGACGTGTCCGGCAACCATGGTGCAAGAGATTTCCGTGAACGACGAGTCTGAATTTCAGCTGGATCGGTATCATCATAACTTTCGACGTTTCGAAGCGAGGAGTCTGTTTCACTACATTTTCATGACCTATGGTGGAGCATGTACTGTGTGCACACACGCTTGATGGGCTGCAATACATGGCTGGAAATTTATTACGAGTGATGCTGCGTGGTTCGGCCTTTTCATTCATTGGATTGAAGATAGTACCCAAGTGGCTTAATTCAAATGTAACTCTCCTAAAGATATTTTGCGCTGGATATATTTACCGGGAATTTTTGCCACGGATTTTCGCCTTCAGTTCACTTAAATGCGCAGCTGATTTTGCGTACCATCTACGGAATAAATCGCGTCATTTCAGTAAGTATATCTCCCAAATTTCAACATTTCTAGCTTTATTTAGGGATCCCTGCTCCCCGTAATTTACTAGTCTAGTTCACTGAACACAAATATGGTCTAACCACATACTAGTGGTTCACAAATGGTACAACTCCCGATCATTGATTCTTCGTAATACGCCACAGTGACCAGGAACTAACGCTTTACGTCAGTCCCATTTGGAAACAACGAAAATTTAGGAGGTACCTTTGGGAAATACTGCTCTCAGTAAATGAACTGCGCCTTCATCTTCCAATTCTGCACCAGACATTCTTGTGTTGATGCTTCGGGATCTTTTGCGCGTCTTGCAATAGTTTGGGCCACGACGTGCTCAAAGTTCGAAGCGATTCCCTGCTACCGAAATCCCGGCCACAGTCAGTCGATCCTCCGTTATCTATTCACAAAAAATATAGATTTGATTCAAGCGCCCATTAAACTGTTGAGTGTAGCACCATACGAAAAGGAACACTTCCTTATGTTGGTCGCTCAGTTTGATGTGTGCATTCAGTATGAGCTGATAACTGTGAGTGTAAACCATGATAAATGTAGTCCGCTATTTCATTTTTATTTTCCGGACATTACGTATCGTGCATCTTACTGTAGGTGTATACGGAACGGGAACGGATTCATCGCCTCAAGTTCTGCCATGCGTGCTTGTGTATCGTGATTAGATCAATTGTTTTTATCCCGTAAACGCGGGCAAGCGTTCACGCATGTGAGATTTTTCTGTCGGACCATTGCACCATGTAACAGAGCATTTGCGCGTATCCATTGTGAAAACAGGGATAGACAAATGGCACACAAAATTGTTTCCCACGAAAAAAAACAGAATTTCACGAAAGGACTGTCTGCAGCTCACAGTCGAATTCTTGCTTTCACGGACTCGTCGGGAGTTGAGGCACTTTTGACGTTCGCTGTATGGACGAATGTTGAACGTGAAACGCTCTCTTAATGTTCTCTCAGGATGCATGGTTATCTAAGTAAAGCCGACCTATACATGTAAGTCAGGATTTGGCCTGTTAAAACCTCAATATTTTTCAAGTGAAGGCAGCTGAAAACGGATTGAAATTTCTTGGCTACTCACGGAATTTCATGATAAAGCAGTTACTACTTTCATGTGGCATCAATATGACTGTGAAATTCCTGAATTAGTGGAAGATTTTCCACAAGAAAACATTTTATGTTCGTGATTCTTACGGATTGTAAGGTTGGGTGAAGAGTTGCGGCCAAAAATCTATTCGTATTCACGTCATATTCAAAAGTTGGGCTTGTTTTAGCCCGACTTGCGTCTCAAGTTCCGTGTTCAATTCGGAACAGCATTCGAGATACTCAGATATTAAAGCACCAGGAACTCCTGGAGAAAGTGTTTGGGTTAGAGAGAGCTGCGTCTGAAAAAGTTGAGCGACTTTGAAATCGCTGCGGTGATTGTTGAGTGTCCATGCGAAGGGGCATTGGCGGAGGGGCGGGTAATTTTCTCTTGCTCTACAGTATGGACCAACGATGTCAAATTTGAATGAACAACAGGCTGCAGACGGATCGAGAGGGAGAGCGCATCAACTGAGTCTGATGTCCAGCAGGCTGACCATAACCGACCACCGCATGATGTCAACTCAACGATAATGAAACTTTCACACGCAGGACTGTGTGGACTGAAGCCAGTGAGATACGGAACTGGCGATGATCTGGATGGAACTACGCTGAAGCAGAGATGTTGGACGTACAGGCAACAAACATACAGTAGGCCGAATCTGATCACCGCACCCTGGTTCGACTTGCACCACAAACCAATTAGGTGGGCGAGCTTCCTCACTAGCTGACCAATTTATTCAACGCGGAGTACACGGCAGCCTCCGAAACGTAAGCGGATGCACCACCTGTCCACTCTTTTAATAAACTATAGCGGTCTCAACATCGTAGACGTTTAACGGATTCCGACTTTCTGATGGTTAATAGCGTCGTTTTGGAGAAGAAACCCCAAATGTCTCAGCTGAGCCGTTCTTGTTGAATTCGGGGCTTTCGGACAGTGTCGGATATGGCCAGCCTTTCACCGTGAAACAAACACACA